TGGTCGGCCAACTGGTTAATTATGTTATCGCAAACTCGAGAACAGGTCAACCGCGAAATGTGGATACCGGAGATTTACTTACCTCCCGCGGTCGAGGGGTTACAACAAGAAAGCGTAGTAGTTCTAAGAAACATTTAAAACGCAAAAGTTCTTTGCGTTCTCGTGCACAGTGTACTTCTGTACATCAGAAAACTACTTGCTCGACTTATATTACAATACATTTTTTAGGTCGGTTAAACTTACAGTGGAAACGCCACCGTCATTTGCGTTAGTTCGAGCATCGCTGCCGAGGGATCTTTTCATTCAGTTTGACTTTAATGATTGGTCTTACCGCGAAACGCTAAGATGGTCATATATATAATATACTTTTTTTGTTCAGTTTTGCAGTCGTTGTCGAGTGTTTGCGAACCGTTCGAACTGAAATAATTCCACTCGTTCAACAACTATGTCTGAATGGTTTTTTTTATATGTAATTAGCAGAATTTTTTTTTATTTTCATGTCTCGCGTTACAGCTGCTAGACCGGACCGATTAATATATACCGTTATTGGTTTCCAAAAGAGAGAGGGGTTAAGTGTCGAGCGAGCCGACTACCGACCACCAAGGTCTGTAGATCCTCCCCGGGGGAAGAAGAAGAAGTTACAGCTGATAAAGTCGTTAAACGGAACTGGCGTCTTAATGTCTGTTAGCATGCTGGCGCACAACCATTATGCACGGTGCGTGGTTTTGCAAAGGGCGCCCAGGTATGAAAAGTCACGATTATGTAGATTTAACGGCTTCATTCTTTCCAATGCCGTTATGCCGATCAAGTCAAAACGTCATTAAAGCACACAAGTAAGTTCGAAATTCGCCGAGTAAGCACACCGATACACGTCGAGATATTCCATAAAATATAATGACTTGGAATGCTTTTTAAAGTCACTCGCTCGTTAAATGTAATTATATTATTTTCCAGAGATAAATAAAACTTTGTACAATTCATTCTTCACCACCGTGAAATCATCAATAAATATTACAATGAAATTTTCTACAAAACATCAGCGTGTCCAAATAAGTTGGTTCGATCGTTGTACATTTTTCTATAAAAGACATATTTTTTACTCTTTGTTCTTTATCTAAGTGTTTTTACAGTATTTAAGGTTTAACAATCCGTGCCTTATTATATGGGGTTTTAACCATGATAAACATGACCGACAAAAATTATTTTAACATTAATGATTGCATTTTGTAAATAGGAAGTATTGTATTATAATATATACAGTGAGGGGAAGTCATGTGATCAACAGTTCCCCCTCGTTGGTTCTGTATAAAAAAAAAATGTTTAAACACTATACAGTTTATTACTATACATTATATTTTCATGTAAAATTTAAAAATATGTATATATATTTTATATTTATTCTATCGCAAAAAAAAACAATGGTGGAATGTAAAATTTTACAAAATACTCGTATGTACTTTGTGATAATATGAATTTCTCTCAAACGAGAATTAGTATTAAGTTTTTAATGTCTTTGTTATACAATTTTTATTTCCAGACACATTGCGAAAGCTCTCTATTTAAAGAGTTATAAGGATATTTAAAATATTGTCAGCCAAAAAACTATCACAATTATTACATAATTAGATTGGTAAAATATAAACAAAAGTCTTCCAGAAGTATGATTTCATTTATTATTCCTTTGCAAAAAAAAAATTACTATTAAATCCGTTAATATCAAAAATAATTACTATTAACGTGATCCTTAAAAAAAGCTTATACTGATCATTAAGAAAAACTTTTTTAAAAAAAAACTTAATCCTTGCCAAAATATTTTAATGGACTTTCTCAATGTCGTTTTAATTTTTGTTTTTGAACTCTGCAGATGATTGATTTAACTAATGTAATTATACTATCTCATAATGATAAAAAAATTAACTTAGTTTGAATTATGTTCGTAGAAATGAGAAACTTTTGATTCAAACAATAAAATAATGTTAACCCTTTTGAAAATAACTTTAATCTTATTATAGTTTTTTATATTCGTATTTAGCTTAAAAGGGAAATTATTTTTTATTGGAAACAATGCTATTTTACATGTACATTTAAATATAAACTATTTGATGAATAAATAAAATGGAAATTTTATTTATAAATTACCTATCACAAACTTTATTTTAGTGCGATTGTTCTTAATATATAAATCCGTATTATAATTTTTTAAACTTTAATTTAGGTTCCAATCAAATAACATCCAACAAAGTTTTGATTATGTTTATGGTTTTAATATTTGTGTTCTGTATGGTTGATAGAACGCAGAAGCTATGATAGGTATTTCAAACGCTGAGGGCACTTGTTCTCACAATTCAACATTGTTGAAATTTGGCATAGTCCCGTTTATAGAATGTGGGATTGCCAGGAACAAACTTTTTTTTTTTAAAAAAGCTAAAATAATTGTGGTTGAAGCAAATAGTAACTGTGTTGTTAACGGGCCACATATGTACTTTTTCCATAATACAGTGAACGTCTAGAAACATATCTAACCTAACCAACCTAACCTACACTACAAGAGTTTCAGTCTTAACGCCAAACATTACAAAAGACACGACATACTTTTGCTGTGTTACACCGTGGAATTGACTAGTTTTCTTCTTTTCTACAAAGACTTAGAAACAACACAAGAAGATAAATCTCTTGTTAGACGCATACAACTAAAGAACATGTCAAACTATCAAATCAATGTACATTTGTAAGTACGCGCCATGACACTAAGGTGATTTAAAGATAAGCGCACCGGGGTATTTTCTTTGGAAAAAAACTTGAGTCATAGAAAAAGTTTAAGTTTAATTTCACGCAAACATATGTTGTTCGGACGTAAGTAATTAATTTTTATTTTCGATAAAATAATATTACAGGGACTCCCGTGTATGGATAAGTAATAAACTTGTGTTTCAAACCAGTGTTTCATTTTATATAGGTATGTATAAACGGAGCTTTTTGTTCTCATGGCGCGTTGAATTCGTTGAAATGAAATATGAGGTACGCAGTTATGTTTATTAAAACTTTTATTAGCCATACATACATTTTATCAGAATTTATGTTCGTTTAAAAAAAAAAAATGCAGTCTGTCCATTCATTTCTATATCGTCGAACTGTATGAAAATAAAACTAGAAGCCACACACATATTCGGCCTGATTGGTTGGCCTGTCTGATAAGTTTTGTATTTGATTGATGTATCAGCTACTAAATTAAGTGTGCGTCGCAAAAATATATGTGTGTGTGTATGTGTATGTGTTTGTGTATTGATCCACAACAATAATGAGATTATTAATATTGACTAAAGTTTTGAAATTGTTCGAAACCGTTTCCATAGCTGCAATACAGCGTTTTTTTTACAATAATAATATTATACATTTAGCCTTTTATCTTGTAAATAATTGTAAAAGGGAGAATGGAGGTTATTACACTGTTATAAAATTGCTAACAAATAATTTACATACTATCTTGTTTTGTATGTTAAATTTCAGATAGTACATATTTAACCGTATCTTCTTTTTACTAAATACATTATGCTCGGGAAAAAATAAAAACATATTTTCCGTGAATAGAATTTAATGAATCCAATGACACCGCTATAATACATGTACACTGATAATTAAAGTAACTAATTGAAATTGTCTATAGCGCTGATTAATATTGTTACACATAATATAGTAATATGAATAATAAAAACAAAAAATTCAGTTTTTATGAGCACCGGGTATGGTTAATTACAAAAAATAACCGAAGAATGTAGTTAATTTTTTAAATTTAAATGCCTTACATTATTTTACCAGTGCGATTAAAAAAAATTACTGTAATATTAATGAAGATTAATCTAGAAAAATATGGAAAGAAAAATATTTAATAAACACAATTAATACTTCATCTGCCAAATTTGGTTAACACTCTTCTTATATTATCGTTCATGGTTTTGCAATAATAAGTATAATATATGAAGTACACTATATAAAGTTATGTCATATTTACTATTTATGTGTACAATTCAAAGAACAAACAACATTTTTTAAATAAAAAAAAATCATACCTTGTCCGTATAAACTAAGAAGTATACTTCGAATTGTATTATTCATTATTAAAAAATGTACGAATGAAACCGCCAAAGAAACACTTATAATATTTCTATGTAGGCTCATTTTTTAAAAATGAAAATAAAATAAATGTTTATTCTGAAAATGTAACTCCTAAAGAATTTGCGGAATACAAAATAATGATAAATTATAATATCATGTTGAATACCTTCTAAGAAACACTATAAAATCATTTCCCCGAATGATACGTTTTACAAGAAATTCAATTTTATTAACCCGTGTAGGTAAATGTATATATCGTTAATACCGAGTATTGTTCAAATGTTGAAACGACAAAGCAACCATATTAATTTATGTCGTACTTCATGTTTAATACCGTAGGTATTATTTACCCACTTGTTTACACACTAATGGAAACGGGGATAAAGTCAATGGAGAAAACTAGGTACCTACATAAAAATGAATACATTATTCAATTACAGTCGGTTGTTTGTTCGGCATAATCAAAATAATACGCATTACCGGTTTCTATCGTAGCTCATTGAAAAGTGATTGTCGATAGTGTATTAACCATGTTATACGATAACCCAATAAGTATGTAAGAAAGTGGGAACAAGAATATCCGAGTAGTAACATGTACTATGTTCGATTGTGAATGCAGTGTACAGAGCTAATAGACGTATACATATATTGAATAATTGCTAAATATGAATAAAATAACCGATTTTCCAAAACAACTGTCAATACACTTATCGGTTATTAACGTTTTAAGTGCATTAATTAATAACGATGTGTGTATTTTTTGTTTGTACATTGTATCAATGACCATTTCTGGTATTTAAACGGCACAAATTAAAATTACACTCAAAGTATATAATTGTTACCATGTAATTATTAGAAACTAATGAAAAACATTACTGGAGACTTACCCGCTTTAACACAGCGCCTTAAGTAGTAATTATTGTTGTGTACTCCCGAGGGTGCGTTGCCTATTATTGCACGCCAATAATAATATTATCTCTCGACACACTGTCAAATCCACCGTGGGTGTATCGCAAACAGAAAAATGCACTAAAACGTTTTTTTTTTTTTTTTTTGACGATATTTTCATATGTAAGTATACTCGGACAAAAACCAAAAAAACACCCTTCGGTTGTGAAAAAAAAAAAAATTAAAAAAATAACCGGCGACAACCGGCTGTATAGGAAGCGTGACGCGACGGAACGGCGATGGTCTAACGACGTTAGGTACCGGCGACAGGGTAAATAATAATGGCCTAGGGGGTTGAAATCCCCATTTTGTGAGGGTGTGTGTGCTTCTCGGCGACGGCGGTTTCCGAATCCACCCGAACGTCGTCGCCTCTTATTATTGGCCGGGCATCCGTCGACTGGCAGCAAGCTTCGGCCCCAAAGTGTGTGTGTGTGTGTGCAGTATTGTGAATTTTGTGTATGTACGTTTCTGTGTGTTAATTATTATCATTTCTCGTACGTCTTGCCCCCCCCCCCCCAACCGAGTATAAACAAGGATTTAATCGAATTATCATCACATCCAGTCTGCCCACTACCCTCACCTTCCCCGTCGATGCTTCTCGGTTGTCACACCTTGTGGCAAAGTTGATTTCAGTACAAATCTACAAGGATGAGTACAAATACAATAATATATCTGCCGTTAAAAGAATATTGCCATCGTTACTCGACAAGCGTTTGCATGCACTTTTTGGTCTACGGGAATTATTATTATTATTATTGTGTATTTAGCTGAAAGTGATAAAATCGACTTCTGAATAAACAACGCTTTGATGTTACAATAGGTAATAACGATAAACGCATTGAAATGACAATACCTAATGTGCGTACAATTGAATTTTTAGCATTAAACTTGGATACTATTGGGTTGATCGGCTATGTAATATACCTGATAATTTGTTGCTGTCGTTACAACATAATATATATATATATATAAAGATATAAAATATGCAACTCCTATTAGCATAAGGTTGTGATAGTAGAGAGTCAACATTCTAGTTTTTTATAGAATATGATACATATATAACGCCTGTACTTATGTACAGGCGTCTTAATTTTTATCTTGTATAATATATACATAGTATTATTTACAAATAAATAGACTTGATAGCGTAGTACAGACAGTATCAAAAGAAAAAAAAACAAGTACAATTGGTTATTTTACAGACTTATAAATGAAAAAAATTAAATGCAGACCTTTATTGTGATCTGAATAATTCTGAGAATATAAACTATTTTAATACCCCGCACAGTTCAATGTTCATATTTTTCTTATAAACCGTTGTCATTTGATTTTTTAATTATTTTTTTATATTATTGTAGCTAACAATGAAATGAAAAAATATTTTCAGATCCCCCGTGTCTGTTGGATTCAGTCACACACGCCATAGCAATGTTTTTTGGTTTTTCCTTAATAAAAAAAAAATTGTACATGGTACAGATTCATAAAAACAACAGAATACCTTCTCAGCTTAGCGTCGAAGCCAATATAAAACATTTTTAATAGGTTCGATCGTAAAATATGTTAAGACGATTCGTTAGACGGTACAAGAATGTCGGCGTTTAGTTTCCATAGAAACCTTAAAACGATTAAGCATTGAGTATATAGATTGAACCGATTGTACACAAATATTTAGGTATCCACCTTTAGGCAAATAATGTTTGTCACCTTAACACCAGTGTCTGAACTACTACGTTCAATGATATACATGTTCTTAACATATGTTTTCAAAATACCTGATAACACAATATTTAGATTCAGCATCAAAAATCCTATAAGGCAATGTTACCAACTCGTTTTCTCAGTTTTTGGATCACAAGACTTGATTCTAGCCAACTCAAATACGCTTGGTAATGGAAATGTATTAATTTTATAGAAAACCAATTTTTTTTATTTATTTAGGGTAAAAATAAAGAAATAAATTATTCATTTGAAACTTATCTTATTGACGTTTTCAGGAGTTGTAATAAATTTTAAAACTTCAGTAGTAACAGTGTACTTTATTACATTTTAAAATTTAAAAAAACTTATCACAATTAATGGTTATTGAAATTAAGTTCCAAAAATTATTTGTACAGTTAGTAGCTCTTATTGGATTTGATAGGAGGTAAATTAAAGTGTAATATTATTTTTATCCATCACTTTATTTAACGCTCTTCCATTTTGTCAAAAATTAATTCATTAACAAGAGTTTTATTTTTGTTAGATTTCACTTGCCTACTGTTTTAGATAATTTTGGAATACAATATTATATTGTTCCACTTTTGTAACTACTTCTTTAACAATTAGAAATAATCTTGATGTACAATATGTGCTTGTAAACTGAATTTTAAACTTTCAACTCGCATACATAATTTTGATTACATTTAACGAAGTTCAGCAAATATTATTTTTAACTTAAATGTGAAGTGGGAAGGCATTGCTTTAGTATTATTAAGCGATTTAGAAAACTTTAATTAAAAGTGAATAGGGAGCATGTTAGAATGAATCTGAGGATGGGATTACAGAGAGTTGCATAGTAATTAAGTGAGATTAAATAAAAGAGGTGAGTAGAAAAAAGGAAATATTATACATTAAAGAAAATTAAAATAAGTAAATAATTAAAGGTCGATAGAAAGATGAACAAATATTATTTTGTTGAATTAAATTTTACATGTATTTTAAAACTAGGTATTTCAATATTCATCCCAACGCAATGTTTTAATTTTAAACTAATATTGATTGGAGGTGTGTCCTAACCTCAATTTTTTTTACTTTATAACAATATTTTAAGTTAATAGAAAATGAGTTAAGAAGTACCTGAATAATTATGATTATATTGAGAAAGGCTGAAACTTAAAATCGATTCTCGGTGGCATAATTTCTTAAAACTACCTTTCTACTAGTTATGCTCATGTTGGTTGCAAAAATGCATATTGTATTCATATTTTAGTTGGATGAAATTTGTTTTAAATTTAATTAAAATTGTATTTATTTATGTATTTTAAAGTCCAGGCCTAATAAACATAAAACGATAGATGAAAAATATAAACAATGTTTTGTACATTATCAGATATAAATAGTATTTAGATTCGACGCGGAGCTGAAAAGGTATTGTTTTTACAATGATATGTTTTTATTTTTTATACATTTATCATAATCATGAATATCCGATTACAATAGATTGACTAGTTGATAACAAGTTTTGAACAAATATATTTTATGGAATTATTGGCATTTTAAGAAATAGGCTGCAGAAAAGACTATAAAATTGTCGTTATTAAATTATTTACAATAATTAAAGTACTTAAAAATTGTACAATACTGCGAATGAAGAATATAACAGAATTATACAATATACTTTAAGTTAAAATGTGTAATCTTAAATCAGGTATGTGGGCAAATACAAATTGTTCTATGTGCCAATTTCTGGTACTTATTTTAAATTAATAACTTATAAAATGTTCTTTTTATGAAATCGACACCGTCAAAATTGGGTTTTCTGTTATTTGTGCGTGCATTTATTGACACAATATTTCATCTGAAAAATTCGAAAGTTATAATAAATCACAAGCCGACAATATTTTCGAAACGCATACAATATATATGAAAATTCGCTTCAAACTAATGTAAATATGTCACCATACAAGTGCAAAATATATTTCGATTTTTCTGTTTCGGTTGACACATCGAGAAAATCACTCTCCCATAGAAAGCAAAGCAAGCTAGTAGAATTTAAATCTTTTTTAGTTATATTGTTTGAATTTTTTAATTAATATATTATTCAACAATATGGAACTGCACTACATTTTTATAACACTTGCCTTTGTAAACTTTTCGCCAATAATGACAAGTAATTATTTTATTTCTACACTTACCTAATCAAAGAAGTTAAAAATCTAATTAAAAAAATTCAAAATATTTAATTTTTTCTCACAGCGGAGTATGCAACGTCGGTTTACATTACAAGTCAGTGTCAATTTTTTATTTAAATATACATATTTTTTAAATTTTATCATTATAATTCATATTATGTTTGAAATAATTTATTACAGACCTACTCATCGACAAGGCATTTGCTACAGGTAAGATACAACCCAACAAAAATGTAATCGAAAAAACAGGCCTATGTTCCAAACCCTGTCCCAAATGTGTTAACCTATTAAAGTAGTAATATCTACATTGTGGCAAAGTCTGCTCTTTCTTTAGTCCATAACCTCACTTCACATCTACTTTCATGAGCAACACTGCTCTTTTTTTTTATAGCTTAACATATGGCCATAAAACAGACTAGGTTACAATGTAGATATTACTACTTTGATAGACTGACTTTTTTGGTCTGGACCATTTTTTTCTTTTCAATTCTCACCTTCTTATCACCTAAGTAATTCTTATGTGAGTACACGTGATACTGATGTTTGTATACTTTCGTTTTGAAGATTTTTTTATATAATTTTATATATTATTATGATTTATTTGAAATTGTTTATACGGCTCAAACCACTATTTGCTTATAGATGTTGCTGGATTGGAGACTGTAATTAAATATTATGTTTATGGAGATAGAACGATGGGTACCTAGTCATTATTATATAATAAAAAAAAAATTAAAATACTATTAGAATTATTATTATTAAAATATGATTTTAGATAACTTGTAGAAAAAAATCTAACATCATAATTTATCAATTAATATTTATTTTATTTTAGAGGAAATTGTATTGTTATTCGCTGTACCGGGTAATAATATTCCTGATAATTTTTGCTTAATAATCATTTATAACTAAATTAGGCATAACATATTATTTTCGTTTTAATTTCAGAATATGGATACATTTTCGACATACCAGGTAACAATTTAATGTATTATAATTTTTGTCATAAGAAAATCTGTATTTTTTTGTTTGTATTTTAGATTTGTTTATCACACTCGAACAGGATGATGTCCAAAGAAAAATATACCGATTTACAAGTAAATATAGAAAGTTTAACATATTTTTACGAATAACTTTTAAAATTAATAATTTTCTATACAGCTGTCACTAGCCTTGAACTTGACCCATACATAGGTAACATTTATTTATAGCATTTATTGACCACCGTAGATAACCCTAAAGACATATATTATAAATAGAAATTTATATAAATTGAAAGAAAATATTTCGCTCGATTTAAAAAAAAATTATGCGACTATCTCACTGACAGAAAATTTCTTTAACATTTTTTTTTTCTAAAGACACTCT